CGGGCGCGGAACCGGCGTTGGTGTCGGTGAGCGCGTTTAAACCAAACAACAAAAGAATTAAGAATAAAAGGCAGAAATGCGCTTTCATTGCACTATTAACAGCACAGTCGTCTTTGTAAAAATAGAATAAATCCTGTTCTTTGCTTGTTGTGGAAGCACCCACCCCAACCAGCGTCTTAGGATTCATTCTGTGGGTTGCCGGAGCCTCCGGAAAGAATTAAGAATAAAAGGCAGAAATGCGCTTTCATTGCACTATTAACAGCACAGTCGTCTTTGTAAAAATAGAATAAATCCTGTTCTTTGCTTGTTGTGGAAGCACCCACCCCAACCAGCATCTTAGGATTCATTCTGTGGGTTGCCGGAGCCTCCGGGCCGGCCTAACGAGTCGCCCAAGGAGCCGAGTCGCCCAAGGAGCCACGTCCTGGCGCGAGCAGGTCCCGACCCGGCTGCGGTGGCCGAGGGCCGGGACACGGAGCTGGGGAGGGAGCGCCGAGTCCCTTGAAAATAAAAACAAAAACTTAAAAAAAAAGGGGGGGAAAATAAAGACGTTAACCCAGCCAAGTGCCACCGTTTGCTCCGTTTTTGCAGCTCGGAGTCGCTCCGTTTCCTGCGGGAGCTGGAAAACCCCCCACGGCCAAACCGGCGCCGGCACGGTGGCAGCTCCCCACCGGGAAGGGACGCGGGGACGCCGCCGGCGAAGCGCCCGATGAGGGATAAGGCTTTGTTCCTCCCAAATTTAGCCCTTGTGTGCCGGCCGAGGGCAGGGAGAGCTGTCGCCGGGATCGGCACCAGCTGGGTAACGTGCGCCGAGCCCCCACCCTGGTTTGGAAACCTGCCCCGTCCCCTCCGCTCTGCCCCGGGAGAAGGGGACGGCGTCCCCAGGGCTCAGTCCCGGCAGGGAGGGAGGGGACGGGTGGGGAAGAGCCGCTTTGCCGGGCTTAAGGCTCAGCTGGAACCGCTCGCCGAGGCGGCGAGAGCAGCAAAGGGTTTTAAACCCCTTTAAACGCCTTTTGGCAGAGGGAGGCGACTGCCAGGAGCACAAGCAGAGCCTTAAACCGCAACAACCCCCCCCCAAAAACAATTAAAGCACTTTGTCAGACCCCAGTTTTCCCGCTCTCCAGCTGGGACGGTTCCCTTGGGAGCAGCGTCCCCTGTGAGCAGCTCTGGGGTTGTTTTCCGAGGAGAAGCCAGGGCGGCGGCCGCAGGGCCGTATTGGATCCAACCCTCCGGCAGAGGAAGCTCGTGGGCATCGGGGGCTCTTTCCGGCCCCCACCCCCCCACCC